AAATGTCCGAAAACTCTTGAAGGTCCTGATCAGGCGTATAAATATGGATATGTTCCGGCTTCGCTCTGGATACGCCACGAATGGACCCCCACGTTGTTAACAGGATCATTGAAACTCACTCGCTCTCTTTGCAACAAATCCCTACATGGGCCAGCAGACAGTTCTCGAATTTTCTGCCAAAAAATTCTCTGAACAACTCAATGAAGGCCAGTGGTAGAAGAAGAGAAATGATCCTTCGACAGGCGCAGGTGTCATGATGCGCCTCCAGCCACTGCTCTATCGTTGCCTCATGCGGTTCGGTAAATCTATAACCAGAGCCAGTAATACGTATATGAAAACAAACAAGACCTGAAGTACTGGGCCCATATCTACGTCGAAAGGTCGTCTACAAGGCCTTCGGATCTTAAGAAAAGTAAGAAAAGTATAACCCTTGGTAACCCAGTTCTCGGAGATTAACCAGTACTGGCGACCCTAATCCAACTTTAACTGCTGCCAAATGATCACGCCCTTCATTCTCCTCCAACTAACCTCTTTTGGGCCGTGTTATTCAAAAGAGGGCAAATCACTCAATCATTTCGTTTCATTCCAAGATTACAACTGAGATGTGCCATGCACCTGTCACATACGCGGTATCCTTACAGTAATGGAAGGTGCTCATGCTTCCTTGCACGGAGTCGGGCACTTATCAGACTCATGGACAGCTGGGTCTATGAATGATAGCATAGTGTCCATTGTCTCTATCTATTAAAAATAACTACAAAATAGGGGAGCAAGGGGGAAAGTAGAGCCGATGAAGGTAAACGGTGGCTTTGGCTGTTTTTCGAGCAGCTCGCCCTACTTGTACCAGTTTGTTTATGTTTATTCAATGGATACAATCAGGGACATGGACTTTTATGGAAACATTCGGTATTTGTGGAGGTTGCGCGACAATTTCGGCAATTCGTAACGGACCAAATCTGGGCCACACTTGCAAAAAAAATTCGCGACATAATTTCCTCGCGCTCAATAAAGTGGAACTCTACTTCCCTAACCTCCACACCAAATCGAGTTTAGTAATTAGTTTACATTTACGGAACTCAGTACTACCTGAAAAACGTTTCTTTAGAGAAATAAAAGGAAATAGAACAACTAAATATCTTCGGGATGCATGCTGCCGTCTCAATTCCTTCAGACGAACTTGAAAAAAAGGCTCGTTTGGCCGGACGGGTGGTCATTCGGGGAACGATCCCTTGATCATGCGTGTGACAATGCGAAACTTGGCACCGCACCTACCATTCCGCGAAAGTTCATGACCAAGAGCGAATTTCAACCATCTGACATTTACGATGAACTTAGAATATACTAATTTCAAAAACAACATCATTACTGACCAGTCGACGTGGCAGGACCAGATGTTAGTACTGGTCTTGGCTATAGCCGATTCAGGATCCACAAAGGCGGAGAGAAATGTTAATCATCATAGGATAGGCTCGAGGATGCGAGATCGGTATTTTTTATCTCTTGAAAAAGCCAAACAGTTTCTCACTTGGGAATTCGGTGGTTCAAGAAGGTAAAGGAATTAAAGGAACTGAAGCGCCATCGGGAAACAAAGCAGGCAAGAGAGGTAGAAAGTAAAATATGAGCCAATTGTAGCAAACCCCAGTTTTTCGTCCAGAATATGATCCTTTTCCTTCCAAATTCTAGGAGAAGGAATGCTTCACTCGAACCACTGAACAAAACCTCCGATGACTACATATCTAGAAAGTGATACGTTGGGGCAGGACAGTACCAGTATAAGTCAACCAGATTGGGTAAAGATACCAGTACCGTCATCTACAACCCATTTACGCATACAGACACAAGTAAGGTTTCTTTGACTCGTTCTATTAACAACCGATCTAATGCTGAATAAGGTAGAGCATAGAATTCTACAAGGTGATTCCTCTGAAGAGGTACGAGGCATGTCTCCGATCATTTACGCGGAGAACTTTACCCATATTGAGAAAGCCATTTCATGAAAAGAGCATATCAAAAGTAAGAATGTGCAACCTCTCAGGAAGGCTGTTCCTTTCTAAGAGACGTTCCACGACGGTGGAGGAGGAGAATTGGATACACTCAAATTATAAGCTACCGCCCGTCTCCAGAAGAGGGTCAAGCGCTGCAAAGTGGATCTTCGTCATTTAAATATGCTCCAATTCGAAAATTTCGCCACAGAAATATGAGCCCCATTCATCGGCACTACCAAAAAAAGCAGTCTTGTGGTCATTGAAGAGATCGAAATAAAAAAAAAAAAGAAATTCTCCTTGGGATGGCTGAAAACGACCGCTGAGGACATTGCCTTACTCTTACATACCTTACACCAAAAGTACCAATAAAGCAGGACATGAGTTAATCAATAATCGTAAACAATTGATCTGGAACACCGGCCAATTTCGGCGGCTGTAGCTTGCATTGGGACTATAGCAGCATCCTCTACGAGTTCTCGAATCTTGAGATAGTCTTTCTGCAGTACCCCTGACTATTTGACGAAACCCTGTGGGGTTATCTAAGGGAGGCAAAAATAATAAATGAACATCTAATGATCTGTAAGATCTACGAATCCATAGCTATGATTCGCGCCCTATGAGCAGACCACCCCATTGTGGCCGGCACTGATGCCGGAGGTCTCTACGTTTCCTTTCTGATCCTCCTAGGGTCTTCCTCATGGGACCCTACTCTAGCGTTAACATTGCCAGATTCGTCCAGCTAAGTCAGCCGTTCAGCCTCTTTTTAACGGATCGGAAGCTTTTCATGTGTAAGAAGTAGTGATTTCCAGTGTTAACGTTTTTCGTTGCTACTTTACACTTGTTCAGTAATGGCAATGTAAAAGATAGAAATTGATCGGTGGTGGAGCAACTTCCCTTACTCATTTCTAGAACGAATAAGGGTGAATGTACAGTCCTCCTGGTGAGGAAGACCATTGAGATAGCCGGTGTGAAAACCGTTTCAACTCGATTGGAAGTAGCCACCTACCCTCACGTTACCGACAGCATCCTTAGAAGTTGGAAACTGAGACTTTGGCCTTGAATGGATATACGGGGAGGGGAATTGAACGGCTGTGATCTGTTCCCTGAGAACCATTTTGTTAAGTTCCCTTCAGATGTCCCGTACAGCGCAAGAGCAGTTTTACTACGGTATCGACGAACAGGCTCGCCGGCCAACCCCACGATCAGTGCCGGATGCGCGATCAAAAGGTAAATAGTGGTTCTTTTCAACTGTATGATTTCTGTTGACTCTAAAATATTTGGAATTACTAGTAAAATCTATTTTGCCAATTACGGTATACCAGTCACTTTCGCAAGCTTCGTATACCACCCCCAGAGCTATTTAATGAATCAATCTAGCTGCAGGGCTACTTTAAAATATATATTCACATGAACCCGTCATGGTTGACCGCCTCCCGTGATCTTAAAATAAAATCGAAATAAGTGGACTGTTCCGGTAAGTAAAGACTATTAAAAGTGGGTACTTGTGTATTTCCATCGTAGGATATTTGAGTCTGAGTTGTGTTGTGGAAGGGACGCTTCGCGACCGCTCGCATCGTATCATGAAGGTTTCACCATGACTAATTTACATGTAATAACTCCATGAGTAACTTTGTTGAAGCATCCAAGAGCTTCTGAAAAGCTCTCTCGAAAGGTGAAAGGAAAAGGAAGGGAAGAAGAAAATGTGAAGAAGAGGCATTCATTCAATCTGAAGATGTGTATTGATAGAGACGGTAAAATCAAAAACTTCGTGCGGTCACCTCGATTCAGGTATGGTAACGAATAACGAACGAACGAAAGGGCCACTCAAAAAAATTATTGATCACCGGTATAGACGCAGAGTCCTGTAACAATTCTGCTTCTCTGGCGCTTGTCGGTTCTGAACATTGGAGCATTTATTGAAAAATTTATTCAGGATTTCATGGCCAGACCAGACTCATCACAGTCACCCCGGATGCAATCATACCGTCAGTAAACGAACCCATCGAGGCCAGTGGTGGATCAAGAAGACGCAGAAGCGATTTATTCGACGTGAGTCGGACAGCTCGAAGAACCTACCCATGGTTTACCAGTGGGAGTAGCCCTCTTTCAGTCACGTGGTCGACGCCAATGTGTCACATGGGAAACGATGACAGATGAGGAGCGGGAGGAAGTGCAGAGAATGAAAAGGTGAGTACCATACCATCGCTGTTATCAAACCCTATAGGAGTTGAAATCTGGGAGCAACCATGAACCTGTTGGGTGTAACCGTAAAAGATTGGTGGTCAAATAAAAGGCATCTTTCATAGTCCACGACCGATCGCGCGACTGGTCGCCGGTCGCTAGCGACTGGTCGCTCGACTGGTCACTCGACTGATCGCGCCACTCGCCGCTCGATCGGTCGAGGAGGCCGCGCTAGTTATGGGTGCCGCCGCGGACGGTCTCGCGCGATCAGTCGAGCGACCAGTCGAGCGACCGGTCGCTAGCGACTGGCGACCAGTCGCGCGATCAGTCGCGCGACCGGTCGTGGACTATGAAAGATGCCATTAAGAGTGTTTACTGCACTGTGCGTAGCATGCAAGCAAAGCGCGCGTAAGCGGCGTGGTCCAGTCAATAAATGATCAATCGTCTTAGGATTTTCCTTAGCTACCTGCAACAACAAGCGCTAGCTACAAACATTTCAATATATTCACTAAAATAACGATCGCGGATTATGGATGAAAGCTTTTTGCAGGAAGGACGAGGCTTTCAAAACGGCTCTTTGCGATGCTTTCAAGAAGTTCGGTTTCTGCCCTTATGGGGATGCGTGTCGATTTGCTCATGGTGATGGTGAACTTCGACTTCCCGCTCAGGTAAAACATTCCTGTCCAGTTAGATAAGTGCGGTTAGGGCGTACTGCTGCGGCGCGCTGTGGCGCACCGAGATCCTGCCATCCAAGACTTTCCTTCAGCTACGTTCATACTTTGCGTCTCACAGGAAAAATGGGAGACGAATAAATGACTAATGGGTTTCCAACCATTTTTTCGCCGACTCTCGTATTAGGCCCCCATTCTGCTGACTGATACCGTCGAATTCCCTAAACAGACTGCACAGTTACCAATCTGTACCAAGTTACCAGTTTTTGTTTACCTTCAGCCTCGAGGCAAAGCTCATCCCAAATACAAAACTCAACTCTGTGACAAGTTCTCCACATTCGGGCACTGCCCATACGGACCTCGTTGTCAATTTATACATAAGTTGAAAAAGGTAAGAGCTCCCCAAAAGAAAGCAAACTTACCTGAAACCACATTCATTTTAAAGGGATTGCCACTCATACAGTACGAGCGACTTTTAGCCGCAGGTCAGATCTCGCCTGAACGGGAAGATGAAAACCGTCTGCCATTGTCAGCCCAAGCCAGTCGTCGTTCCACGGGTGTCAGCCCCAGCAGGTGATTCTTACACTTTGACAACGGATTGTATTTGAGTATTTGCTTCAATTTCATTCAAAAGGAATCGTGTGGATGCCTCTCGCCGGCTATCGTTCGATCGGGAAAACTCGTTCACGCCCAGGCAAACTATTCCGAATGCGATCTATCCAAAAATGGAAATAATTAATATTGAACGGGCTTGTAAATATGCGGACGATCCTGCTAATAAGCGTGAGTTTTCAAAAAAAATTGTTCTTCAATGACCTTTCATCTTAGACTCTTAGAAGGTACTACGAGGGCGCCTCACTAGCCAGCATCCAGCAGTCAGCATTATTTATGTACTGAAATTCATATGTTGGATCCAGCATAATCTCTTGTGAATTCGAAAGCACTGCGCTACTTTTTGTTGTTTTACAATATATTTAACACTTTGCTGTTTTTGTCAAGATAGCTATCAAAAAAAAGTCGTTGAACAGGCGCGCGCGTGCTGCGGCACGCGACCAACCCAGGGTGACCGCACCGCATACGCGCGCTGTGAAAAGAAGTCCCGTTAGTGAATACTGTTCAAGAAATAGCTGTTTCAGCGGCTGCTCCAACACGTCGTCGCTCCGTAGAATTTGACGATATGAGACCAGCAATCGATTTTAGCATTAACCAAATAACAAGGTTCCACTAGTGACAATCTGGATCAATTGATGATAGAGAGTTATGCAAAATATTCAGATCGGCTTCAGTACAATCGCTACCAAATCGTGGAATGATCGGCGATTTTCGCTACATCCCAATGGTACAGCCACCAGATCCCGGAGAAGCCACTGTAGAAAAGAATACTGCACAAAAGAAGAAAGTACATGATTTATCACTAATCAAGGAGGAACCCGAGGAAAATCAATCTCAACATGATGGGTCAGTTTATATGGTTTAACATATCTAACTTCCGATTTTTGTTTGTAACTTCTGGAAACCATTTTTCCAGAAACTACAAGCAGTTTTTCCATTAGGCCTTATTCTTTCAATTTTTTAAAATCACGTTTCACTTCGATGAATAGTTCATGAGCATCTGTTAATTCTGCACTATACTCCCATACCTAGGAGAAATAATGCAGGGTTAGTTGCTGATGCAGCAAGGTAGGCTTGAAAACAAGGTGGGGAGGAGAATGAGAATATACGTATATACGCAATTACCATCGCAAATCCAATTAGGTTTCTTCATTGGGCTTCAAGGTAGCCGTTTCATGGTAGTGCACAGCGCAGGCGATATTTAGTAACGAGTAAAAGTCATGAGCGAACACCTACTCCTGTAAATGGAGACGTAAGCATATATCCTCGAAAAAGAGGGAATTATTATTCATTGAGGCACGGGATGCCTGCCAGTATCATCAATCATCAAAGGACAACGTCAACCGCCTCGTAACATAGTCGCAAACTATTCGCTTAAATGGTTCATTTGATGCAAATATCCGCATTGCTCTGTCATCATGGAAGCTACCCAATTGTAGAGCAATTGAGGGTAGGAACAGCATTTGAAAGGCGATCCTTGCAATGAGCAAATATCTCCTGCTCCTACTGCTAAGGAAGCGCATGACACCGGAAACTGATCCGAATTGAGCCAAAGCTCATCTTTCAGCTAACACCGCGCGACAAGGGCTTTCTTCGATGGAGTTCTATTTGACATCGATTTAAAGTGTACTTTACGATTTAGGTCACCACGTGCAACTCGACCCAACAAACGTAATCATTGGCCAGAAAATGCTTTTGGAAAGAAAATGGACACAATTTCGGAAGACGATAAAGAAAACAATGTGAGCAAACAGAGCCGCACCAACGAAACCGAACTACTTGTGCAATCATGTGATGAAGAACTTCTTGCGCAGGGACTTTATGATTACAGGTACTGTTGCACTGTAGGATTAGAGATAATGGATATTATCTTCACATTACTATTATACTTCTTAGTCAAGAATGTTATTTTAATAAGGCGATTATGACTTGCTCTTCCTCTCAGACATCAATTTATCGATCTTGCAGATCTGCCGCGCCGCAACGGCGCGCGTCGGCTGCAGGCTTTGTTAACCACAGCGACGGAAATCAACTGTCTTTTCTACTAAAAAAATATTCTCGTACAAAATTTGAAGCTGCACATAGTTGACATTTTTATGTGAACTGTGTACGATCTATTCCCTCCCATCTCTCCCATTTATTCTTAGAAGAGCTTAATTTTCTTTGCCTTAATCAAACGCAATTGACATTTAGATTTATCCATGTGCATGAAGGTGCGAACGGCTACAGGGTTGACAATTTCTCTTACAGATATCCCGACACGCCGACAGATCTAGTGGAACAATGGAAGGAGTTACGCACAAACTAATTTACATTTTCATCATTGACGAAGTCGAGCGTGTTCGATTTTCAACTAACAACGAAATTCAAGCGTTTTATTCACTACTCGCTAGTTATTACATCAAGTTGAAGTACTCGAATTATCCAGCTCGGTTTGACTTTGTAGCTGCCCACATTTATCATTGTTTGCATTCGTATTTCTTTCCGTATTTGTTAGACACCGGTTTTATTTTGTCACACATCACCACAGATAGATATGGATATACTATATTTGCTCATTACGTAATTATCATGAATGTGAATCACAACATTTTAGGAAAATCTTTTTCTAAAGTGTTAGTGATTCTTTTATTTGCACAGCGTGCTAGTTTTAGTAATGCATACCCGTTTTAGTCATATGGGTTGTGTGAACCACCCTGTATGATTGATTTATTAACCACCTGTGAAATAGTCGAAAAGTAAAGATGATTTTGTATTACTTTATTCATTCAGACTTGGATCAGTTCCCATATATGCTTAAAATCGAACTTCACCTGAAATCAAACCTGTGACAGCTTCATGCTTACACTGTAATCTGTGGGAAGCAGCGCAACTGGTGCAGCATACGGCTGGTAGGTGGTGCCCGATCTTAGCATTGCCACTAAATGGCTAAGTTCGGAGGTCAATGACCTTATAAATTTGTGCAGACTAATACCTAGAGGAATATCAGCAGGAGTGGGACAAGTCTAACTTCGATTTCTGAAGATCTCGTCGATATAATTCCACAGAGATAGAATTTCTATTCACAAAACTCGTTCGCTACTTCCTCCGAGTGTAGGCTTAGGCAATAGTTTCAGTTTCTCCGGAGTAGGCGAAGGTAGTAGGCACCTCACTTTTGAGATGCCATACCCAAATGACAAACTATTGCGGGTTGACCATGAAAATTTGGTTCTCTTTGGAAAGAGGTCTTAAATTAACCTTCCAAGCTGTTGAGAAAAGGCCAAAAAAGCACGTGTTTTCTCTAAAACGTGCTCCTTATTCTTGAAGTCCTTTTATTTCTATTCCAGAGTGATCAAGTACTTCGTAAATCCTTTTCATTGTAACACTCAACAGCCCCGCTGGGTACATGACGTGCTTACGGTATCCGAGTGGTGTGTGTGCATGATCTGCAAGCGCAGAAATAGGACGGGCTGCGCGATCGATATCACCAGGGTGGCTGTTCTACATCGTCGAACGTCATCAGTTTGAGTACCAGCTATTCGTCCATCTGCTGATAGGCACTCGTCCCTCGTTTCTTCTCACATTATCATCCATCCATCCGTTCATCCAAACAGTATATAAGAATTTGCCTCGAACCGTTTGTGGAATGTCGCGTACACCATCACGCCAGTCAGAAAATGTCACTATCGCTCATTCGCCATTCGAGGTTGGGCCGGTAAAACACTACACTTCGTTCATCCTTGTGTCCGTCTACAGCGTCGCTTCGCCTGATTGTTTATATTCGCTAATTGCTGAAATCTGAGACACAAGATGTCACGTAAAAATCATCCACTGATATCATCACATAGTTTGTAAATGTGTATAGAGTTTCAAAAGTATCAGTCGAATCAAATATGTGCGTGAAACAGGTGACAGACTTCGTGATCATTGTTTAATTTTTATTTTGGCTTCATATTCTACTGGTATGGTTGGGTTATGCTAACTTTTTATGAAATGAGCTCCTGATTTGGTACTCACATTGGCAACAAGGAAACAGAGACTTTAAATCCCATTAGATAGACTACCTTTCCAACGGCCTAGCTTAGATGATGTGAAGCTTGTTTAATTTGAAATAGATATATCGACTTTTCAGTGGTAGAGATTGTTACTGATTCTCCCGTGTCCTTGTTGTTCCTGAACCATTACCTACAGGTCAACGGAAAAGTCTGCCGCCACAGATGTTTGAAAAACATTCTAAGGAAACAGTCAACATGGAGGTCGAAGATATACATCGAGCCCACTGTTCTTGTTGCTCACGCTTCAGTACTCTGACGGCCCCGCCATTGCTTCTTTCGTCTACTGGTTCTCCACTTATCTCCCATGTCCATAAATGGGAAAATAAACTTGAGAAATAAGCGAAACGATTAGCGGTGCCTTCAAGTTCCCAGCCTCCCCGCCACCTTTTTTGAGGGAGGAGCAAATCGATAGGGGAGCTACCCCGTTATTCTCTACCAATGGTGGACAATTATGTCGCCTACTTCCGGTCACAAGGTTGGTTCGTTCCAATAATGTAGTATTTACAAATATCTGTGGAGGCTGGCTTTGTAACGAAATATGCTAGGGACTTCAGCTTCTTCTAAGAAAGGAATCAATATTATTTTACTCAATTTCCCACCCCATCGACCGTGAAACCAGCTAATCTTCCCATCCTGACCCGCTATCTTTGGAGCCCATCAAGTAACGAGATCTCATGAGTGGGAAGTGTTGCACGGGAAACGGGAGAATGAGCGTCGCTGATCGAAGAGACTGCGGGAAAACAATGAGGGAATGGGCGGGATACGTTTAGTGAAAATATAAGGTGTAATAGGAGACGCAGGGACGACTGCCCTTCCAACCCGTCGAAACGGGTACACTTTCTATGGAGAGAACGTACGCCAGGATCGGGGGTTAAGGTCGGTAGGCTGGATTCGAATTGAACCCCAATAATCTGTCGTATTAAGACAAAATGCCTGCCCGTTTAGATTTAGCATTAAGTGCTTGCAATTAGGTTATTTGCTAGGAATGCGCCCTACTTTTTGTTTTTATGAAATATGGGTTTCTGATTGCTAGATTCATTAAAATATAAATAAAACTCCAATTTTTTATAACTTTTTGTCCTAATTGTGATTAGTAGGTATAAGTGTACCGTTCCGTAGAACATTGTATGATGTAACTATGCGGGTGTATTTTATTGTTCTGCCTGCAATGTAATAATTGGGGAAATCAACAAGGTTCGCCGAGAGAATGGATGTTTAACCCCATGTAATTCATTTGCCTTTTGGCGATTTCAAAACCAGTTCATGTTGAGAATGAAAGTTGTGCGTTTTGTTATCTAATACAGTGACTGCATAAAAGTGTTCAGATCAGAGAGGATCTTGTGGGATGGCAGAGGAGTTGAATTGCGACCTAGATGAAGGTTCGCATCACGATGGTTCCGATGGCGGCTCCAAGTCAAGTGCAGAAGATGCTCAAGGTGATAATTTCGTTGATACGAATTTATCCTGTAGGATAAATGAGATCTTGTCACACGGAAATATCGTTTTTCTTGCAGAGCATGCTAATGACTCAAAAGAAACTTTTCAACCCCCACCCGAGAAAGTGGAAGACGTTTTGGACCTGGACTACGATGAAGGCTCACCAAATGGAAATCAAGAAAGGGCAGAAGATGGGGAAGAGGTGTGGTATTTTCAACTATAATGCCTTTTAGTGTGCTCTAACTTCACTTTCTTCTCTATTCTTTTAAGAGTTCTGATGGAGAGATAAAGGACTCAAGTGATGAAAACAAGAGTAACGCAGCTAACGGAGACAAAGAAGAAGGAGAAATAGACGACAGTGATGAAGATGATGGTGAAATAGAGGTTGACGTCGAAAGGACGCGGAAAGTTCCTATTGAGGTTATTTCCAGGCCTTTATTTTTATATTTCGGGAGAATAGAGCCAGGAAAGTTGATCAAGAGGAAACACAGGGTGGAGGGGTTACTTCCCGTTTGTTCAGTTTATTGTAGTGCCGACGATGTATAAGATATTTTGTCCACTTAGAGATGACTAAAACTTAAATAGCAGTGATTTAGGTTAAAAATATTACTCAAAAATGTCCCCTGAGGAACTACAACTGTGTAGTTGTTACTGTTGAAAACCAGTTTACAAAACATTCAGGCTCGTCTAAGTAGACCATCTGCTCCTGTGCGAGACAGATGTGTTAAAGTTCGAGAATGTCCGTATGAAATCAATGGTTCCTGTACGTGGGGTCCCGATTGCAAATATATTCATCGTAATAAGGTACACTTATTAATTCGAGTAAGCAGTTCATGTTATTTTCTTCTCAATCATGTGCGTTTTTTAGGAACCCTTAAGACTGTTCAGCAGAGGAAAAGTAGCAGAGGGTGAGTTCAATAATTTCCCGTCGTTCGTTTCGTTTTTGTTTGCATTAATGTATTTCATCCAAGGTGAACTTTTCCTGATGCATATTAAACTAATCCCTCTTAAGAGACCTCATGGGAACGTGGACTTCGCGAAGCGCGAGAAGCTATGCGAAGAGCCTCCAAAAAACGCCAAGAACCTGAATTTGAGACGAAACGGCTGAATGCAGCGCCGACTGGAGAGCGTACCCGAACCGTTCACGATTCAGATTCCGACGATGTCTCATCCCCACACAGGTACTTTTATTCGAGAAACTTACTGATGGGACTTAAGACGAGCACAGGTGCAATTGTAAACTAATTTTATTACTTGTTAATGTCAATTTCTGAAGGCGATCACCGCATTCATCTCGTCAGCATATACCATCACTGCTGGAAATTGCCACACTTCCTCCACGTTTCCCGAGCCGATCATCATCGCATAAAGGTATGTTATCTGGGTAGTGCCCAACTTCAAGTACATTTCGAAATGGAATTTCTTTTTGTGATGAATGATGCACTGGTTTGCGAATGCTAAGAACTGTTTTGTGATTGAAATTTTTGAAATCGATTGTGTCATTCGGTAACCGTCGTGTTGTTTTGTCGAACTGATGGTGTGAGTTTTGTGTCAGACGGTGTGCGTAGTGCCACGCGTGGTTCGCCGTGCTATTCCGATGACGACGACACTCTACCTTCTCGACATAATAGAACAGACAGTGGCAGAGGTAGAGACGGTGGAAGTTACAGAGAACGTCGTGAGATCAAGGGTAGGGCTTGAATATTTCAAGAATGAGTTTGAAGCTTATATACTAACCCTTTATTGAATGTGCCGCAAGAATGACTAACGCTGTGTGGGTAAAAGAATCACGATCACTTGGCTTAATATGGAATGCTTTTTTTGACAAAGCTTAATTTTTCCATTTAGTCACCGTATAAGAACGTTTTCGACTGTTTCGGTTTTTTTTTCTTTCTCCGAAAGATGCTCAGCTAGTAGAATCTTTCAAGAATACTTGTTAGTTTCAATCTATCAATGTTCGTTCCAAAACTGGTGAGTCTTCCGCGCCAGATGAAACTTATCAGGTTTCGAATAGCATTTTTTGTAAAAGGAGTGGACTTTGAGCATCTTAAATTGGTGCGAACTATAACAGAATCCTTGATTGCGGCTTATATTGGTTCTGAATTTTCTTGTAAAATTATTCGATTTTTCGAAGGAGGAGATGGTGTAGTGGCAAGTGGCGCACTTCACACACGCATGGTCATAGCTTCAAATAACGGGCCAGTACGCTAGACCAACCAAGACTTCCAACCCTCTGGGTCGGCTAACTATCTGGGAGAATAAGAGCGCTGGCTTGTACATCGTCAGCGCAAGTCATTGTATGGAGCCACATACGCATTCAATGCGCGCCTACGATTCTGGATGGAAGTCGAATGCGTGGGCTAACCCCACAAACGATATTGATTGACGCCCAAGGCTTTATCCTTTATTTTGTTATCGAAATGAAGGTGGTTTCAAAGAATCTCTTTTTTGAAAGGACGTATGAAAGTTTTTCTACTTGAGGTTGAGCATCTTTTTTTTCTATGAGTATCACGAAGCTTACATCTGGGCCAACAAATTTTAGTTTCGATGGTGACCACGTGGAAACGCTGAATTCTAGTTTTCAAAGCTAAGGCTTGTTGTGAATGCATACATCATTTGTTATAAAAAATTACTTATGTAAAGGTTGTTGTTGTGAAATGAAGTAACCGTATAGAATTCGTAATCGCGCACATAATTCGTTCAGATTTGGGTCCACAAGTTCGATACCCGTGTGGTCGACCACCTCCACCTGCTCGAAGTGATAGACGAGGTGGAGGTGGTGATGGTAACAGTCAGCGTCATTCATCTTCACGGCAAGATAAAGTTAAAGAATCAGCACCACGTTCGCGACGTGAGTCTCCGCACAGCTCCTCGTCCACAAAGGCAAAGTCTCGCACTGGAAGGTACCGTTTAACACAGCCATTATTTTTGAATTCCGAGTAAAACTATGAGTAACAACTACGAACCGAATTACGAGTTTCAGAATATCCCCTTCGCTTGATGCCTCTCCGATAAGCAGTGACTCCTCACTTTCACCTGCTAGAAGTCCACGTAAAACTGCTAACCCCACTCATACTGACAAAAATGTAGACAAGAAAGGTACTGATTTCTAAGTCAATAATGATTTTTCAGGCGCATTTACTTCTTTTCAGTTAAAAAGAAAGTTCAAAGTGGGAGTGCTATGGGTGATGTGACAGATCCGTGGGCCCGTAAGAAGAAAGCGACTTCTTGGACGAAGAACAACAATGAACCAAAAACGAGAGGACGTTCATCAAGCAACAGCTCGTATGCTCTGAAATTTATATGATTTTGAGTGAGGAAAGGCTATAGGTCATTTGCAGGTCGAGCTCAACGAATAGCCATGAGAAGCTCCGCCGTGCTGCGGCAGCAAATCTTAATCGCAACTCGCGTCTACCTTGTTCACCACCTGTCGCTAAGGTTGATTATTGATACTTCTTTCGTTGCTTGTTCATATTGTATGGGTTCCTTTACATGGTTACTATGAAACGGATTTTGTTTTAGGTCGAAAGGCGACTTTCACCCCCTAGGGGAGATATTGCGGGATTCCGTATACCGAAAAAGCACCGCGCCGCATCATCTCGCGACCGGACGTATAGGTATGTGGTTTTGCCGTCGGTGCAGCATATGCTTACTATTATACACCCTACTTCCAGCAGTGCTCGTGGAAACTGTGATTCTGGCCGGGACGTGGCATTTTCGAAGAAGTCTAATGTAGATTCCCATTCATCGAAGGTAGATAGACTCTCATTTTTCCAGCGATTTTTATTCTTATGCTCAGTAGCTTATTCCAGAGATCGGATTCCAAAAAGAATCGCGAGCCCTGTAAACTTTCCGACGATGAAATGGAGCAGACAATTGACAGCCGTGGTGCTGAAAATATTAGCGATGTTTGTGATCCTATTCGTCTTCAATTCACGTCGAAATTACAATTGTCTTATCAAAGTGGCGGTGAACTACCCTTGTTTATTTTTCAGTCGGAATCAGCTCAATCGGTCAGCAGGAGCTCATCTGTAATGTCGTCATCCTCATCTCAAGGCTCTTCGCAGAGTAGATCTGCTTCACCTGCGTTACCGGCCAAGTATCGTGTCCCTGGTGGCAAAGAAGACGCCCCTGCATCAATAGAAAAGTGAGCTGCATAGTAATATTCTGGAGAAAACATCTAATATTTATGTGAAATTCAGAACCGTGGCTTCCGTATCGGATTCGGAAGGCGAATCAAAGAAAAAGAACCGTTCCAAAGGTGCTTCAAAGGGTAAACGTTCTGGTGCATCGCCACATCTTCGTGAAATGTAAACGTTCTCATTTCATTATGGAATGGTCTAGTTGTTTCTTTTTAGTCTACTTCTTGACTTCAGATCACCTTCACCATCTCCTCCTCCACCACCGCCTCCACCAGATGATGCTAATAGTCGTCGACGGCAGCGCGACAAGTCTGAAACACCTCCTCCACCACCTCCACCTCTTCCTTTGATAAATGAATTCGTTTTGGAAAGGCAGGCGAGAAAAGGGAGAAACGTAACGGAAAAGCGCTCATCGGCTGAGAAACCAAAACGTGAGAGGAGTCCGCCGAAGAAAAAAGCTAAGGGTAATCATGACGGTAAGTCTTTCTATTTTTATGGAGGCCTATTCTTTTCCGCTAGCATGTACCTAGCTTTGAAGGCCTCACAGACAAAGAACGACGAAAGCGAGAGCTCATGGAACAGTTACGTGCTGTCGAGGAAGAGTTGAAGAAAAGGACTGCAGCGACTTCTGCCTTGTAAAGTCAAGACTAAGTAGTTTTGTAGATTATGGAATATTTGATCTGACAATTTATTATGTTCTTGTTGTTAAGTTACCGTTACTTCGCAATAATCTTGGCCTTAGTGGTAGTCGTTTGTTAGAAAGAATACAGCACCTTGTACTAGAATTAAGGCAAAAGGTAGTAGCCTCTAGCGACTGCAGTGCGTGATGGAAAACAGGTATCACTTAAAAAAATTGCAAGTAGTAGTCTTAAAAAAATTGTGGGAGAGTACATTGTTGTTTTGTAAGGAATATGAGATCCATGTTTTTGATCTCCCACAGGTTGCCTATAGCCCAAATATAATGCATGAATAATGCCATGGATATCAAATTGTATTAATGTTATCTTGTGCGTACTTATGTAATTTAACTTTTGTGTTGGTATTACGTTTTGGGATAGTTTTGATGACATCACTTTTTGCTTAGCCGTTTACTTATGGTTGTACTAATGGTTTTCGTTTTTTGCTAAGAAAGTACTCTAAATATTATCTAGTCAATATCTGAATTGATTTTCTGTAGCCTTTTCAAATTTAGTGGCATTGGGAGGCTTTTTGAATTCTAGATTATTTCGCTTGATCATCCTCGTCATATTGTCGTACTGATACACCTAGCATTCATTGTTAATGTGGTTAAACGATGATATTTTATTTCTGCTCATTGTAACATGAATATTTTTACAACCTACATCTTTTGTATTACTTTTTACTTAAATCGGTACTACGTCGAGTTATTCTTTCCACTAACAGCTTATATTTCGACAATGTCTTTGCATAGACCTATTGGTTTCTCCTCAACGATTTTTGAAGTCGTCGGAAGGTTATAGTATGTCGTTTCTAAGTATACATGTGATCTACAGATTCTGTAGGATTCTTCAGAAGCTTATGAGCGAAAGCTTGTGGGAGAAATTTTGAAAGTTGCGTCTCGAATTCAGAGGTTTTTACACCATCCGATTCTGAATTTTTACTTTCTGAGCGCTCAATACGGAAATAGGGTCGTTCCAAATTCATGGACAGCTTGTTGAGGAGCAGTTGTGTTTTATGTTGGGGTTATAACATATCTCTTTGTTTAGAGAGGCTAACATCGGGATCGAAATATGGGTAGCCAGGACGAGGAGCAGCGACTGGGAGTGCTACATCTGGACAAAAGTCATACCCGCAAAAGGAACCCGAAGAAAACCAAGAGAACGAATTTTACGAGAAGTGCACTCACCGAAGAGGACAAACGCGCGCTAAGGTTAGTTAGAGCAGCCAATTTCGTTGATTTTACTGCAGGTTTTCGGCTTGACCAATCTATCTCTGAACTAATTCGTCCGGTTTTCTGCTTCATTCTTTTTGGAGTTCGGAATGACACCTGTAAAAGAGTTTCCAATTGAATTGTGACGTTAAGATACGCTCAAGTTGAGCCGTTGTATCAAATGTGGTGTGAGTACTATCGTGGTTTGCTAGGAGATCGAGAAAAGATGCCAGATGAACGGATGCTCAAAGCTGACTACCATGGTGCTCTGGTGCTCGTTGCAGAAGCCCTTAATCCCACAATGGTAAATCATTTGTAAATAGCTGTGCGCATAGCAGTTGTTGAATACTACTGCTTGGTGAAGTATGAATGCCAGGTTTTGTTTTTAGATTGGTATCGTTGGAATAATTATACTGGAAACAAGGCAGACATTTCAACTGATAGCCAAAGATGACAAATATTTAGGTCAGTGTGTTTTCAGGAATAATTTTGGTTTGCAAGCGTTTTTTATTGATAGAAGTCAACATTTATGTGTGTGAGGCGCGCGGTCGCGGCGCGCTATGGCATAATGTGTAACCGCATTACTTAGGACGGAATCTTTGATATAATGCGTCTAGTTGATAAAATTTAAATCTCACTTTACTTGGTCCCGATTTTCGTTTTTGTTTCCAGTAATTCCGAAACAAGGAACGGCATTACAGTTCATTCTTGATGGACGAGTTTTTACATTGTTCGGTGATGCAATGAGATACAAACCCTCGCTTCGAGGTAAGAGGCATCGTCTGCGTGTCGCGTTACCATTCTTCATTAGATGATATGTTTATTTCATTTTTTGTGACCAATATATTGTATAGAATGGAATAACGAAATGTTGTTTACACTTCCCATCAGGCGATGCTCGCCGTTGCTAAGCGATTTGGTCGTTTACTGAATTGTATGTTTCTGAATGATGAAGGGTAGGTATGAGCAGAGGAAGTGTTGTAAAAAAAAGTCGTTTATAATTCTAAACTATGACCAACAAAACAGTATAATATAAATGTCAACTAAGGCGCCATAGAGTTTTATAGATATCACAATCANACAATCAAATTTGTTGCTGTTCTTTGTTAAAGCTCAACAATACACGTATATTTGCATAAGTGACCCGAGAAAACTTGTTCTATGATTTTCATATTTTTACGGACTCAGTTGTTACTGTTGAGAAGTTGTTTCCTGAAAAAATGTGTTACTGTTTGAAAAGTATTATGATCGTAGTTGTTTATTTCTCACCTTGCATTATGTTTATCCGTCATACTGGGAATACGAGCTATTTTCCGATTCCTTTCCATCATAGTTACATAAGCGATCACCAACGAGAAAACGACGATCAATATCCATGCAACCAGTATGAGACTTATAGCAGCAGCAAAACGTGGCACCACAGACGTTGGGAATGAATGATGAACAATTTCTGGAAATGAAGACGGTGAATCTCAGAAGGTTCTATTCGTTAACAGTGTAGGACGGGTTGAGCTGAGGCCAAAAGATGTACTTTCGTTGTTATAATTAAAAAAACACTAATTCTAAGTTTCTACCCGTCGCACTGCACTTGGAAGTCCTTCACATCGTACACATGGGTTCTAACAGTGGTGGTCAAGCAAGTTTTCCTTATTGTTCGTAACTTAATAATGAAAAATACTTTTTCGTAAACGTGAAGGAGAAGCCAATCAATTTTTTTCGATGAACAATGTGGATGAGGGGATCTGTCCTTCAAAATTCTGTATAGAATTCAAGTTCACGGCGCGTTCTCGAGGAAGCCTATTCAGACGAATTAGTTGCGGGCTGTGCACTAAATTCATCCTATGTTTGGAATAGCTTGCGTTACTGATAAAATACGACCTTTTGAATTTTTCTCATCTTATTATCATATCAACATTACATTTCCATTTTTTACCCAATCGAAATTGGAAAATGTCGAATGACGTAAATGTGTATAGGGGTGAAAATGGTAACATAGTTAGTTGCTAGGGAATAGTGGAGCTCGAGCCATCTCATTGACGCCCGTCCTAGTGGAAGCTGGAGTAGGGGGGAGTCAAGCGCTACAAACCGCCTCCAACTAAAAAATGGATCCTGCCTTACCTGCTATACAATTCCCAACTTCATCCTTTGTGAATCCTGTACAGCATTCACCAGTGTCAGTGGGTCGGTCGCTGACTTCATGAAAGATGTAACTGAATTTTAAATGACAGTTAACTTTTGGTCTAACCGAATGCCTCCTTGTTGCTATGACGAACTCGCTCACCTTTTGCCGTCCAGACATCGCCGTGTTCCGTTAAGTGATCGTGCCAGGCACAAAGGTAGTAATAGAATCCCTATCATCATAGAAATCTGAATTGGTGATAAATCACCGTATAAACTGGCAGAAAATTTACACAACCTTCAGTCAAACGGACGAAAAGTGGTTTCCCAATCGAATATGAAATTAGGACAAAAATAATCAGGACAATGAAAGGAATAAAACTAGCCATGGAAAAATATGGGAAGCCCTTCGTACTCAATCTATAATGAAGAGCTTGGAAATAAATAAAAANGAATAAAACTAGCCATGGAAAAAATATGGGAAGCCCTTCGTACTCAATCTATAATGAAGAGCTTGGAAATAAATAAAAATTTGCTTGCTGTTGGACACCATCCTGAGACACGCCAGACAACAAAAGAGAAATCAAAATATCGATTTTACGCGTGCAGAATAAATACTTTTCGATGGGAAGAGTACGAGGATACGAGGATGAACGACTTGGATAGGTGGTATCATCAAAGGTTTCCTCAAGAAGCTTCGCGTTCCCATTATACTCTGAACCGCTCGCTAAGCTGGAGAGGTGGAAAAATCATTATTTATTTACAAAAATTTTTAACACTTCTTTGACGACGCCGTAAAAGTGAGGTTAGAGTTGCAAATAAAACACAGTAGTAATTCAAGAAAAAACAGAAGAAAGAACGAATTTCAAAAGACGAAAATAATAAGTTGGGAGCTACATTCGAAGGAGTTCCTTCTGACAAGAAAAACTATGGGCAAAAAAAAGGAAAAGATTAATAAAACACAATTATTAAGAGAGTGCCAGTATTGTGTGCATGACAGTGCTAACAAGCTGAAGACAAGTTATTTTGAGGACCAGCGGTCCAAGAAATTAACAATTCACCACTCCTACTGCAATACATGCATATCGATTTTACGCGTGCAAAATCAATAATGTTAGAGAACANGCGCATTAGGAGCTAGCCCAAATGTAAAAATAACCTGAACGAACACATATACATGATGAAACATGAAAATCAACATGAAATGACGTGATAGAGGCTTCCAGATGGTGACGAATGCTGACTAAATGGCCATGTATGAACATGTCAGTACCTGCTGATAAGATAAGACCATTGTTTGACGGGTTTTTTCGGGCCAATAATCGAGTCACCCGGGAAACTACGAGCTTCCCTTTCCGGGAATGGGACGAGCTTCATCATTTTGATTCATTTTAGGGGTTTTTTAAAATTTTCGAGTGCTTTTTACAGGAATCATTATTATTGATATTAATATTTTATTTCAATCGAAAGAAAGGAATGCAGATGTGGCAGGGAGCGTTGAAGGGAAGCTACCGCACGTAGTTCAAGCAAATCTGGTTTTGCCTTTATAAACCGGGTCTTTCATTATCTTTGCGTCACAGGTATTGACGTGACACGAGTAAAGTTGCTGTGGTTGTTGTTTACTACTCTCGGAAAAAAAA